TCAAAACCATCCTGGCTAACACAGTGAAACCCCGTCTCTACTAAAAAATACAAAAAACTAGCCAGGCGAGGTGGTGGGCGCCTGTAGTCCCAGCTACTCAGGAGGCTGAGGCAGGAGAATGGTGTAAACCTGGGAGGCGGAGCTTGCAGTGAGCCGACGCCACTGCACTCCAGCCTGGGTGACAGAGCGAGACTCCGTCTCAAAAAAAAAAAAGAGAAAAAAAAAAAAGAATAGCAGCTGGCACTTAAAGTAGCCTTGAATAGATGAGGCCTGGCACTGAGCATTCAATATTGGCAGCCCTTCACTTTTTATTTTTTTAGATATAGGGACTTGCTCTGTCACCCAGGCTGGAATGCAGTGGCACCATCTCAGCTCACTGCAGCCTCAACCTCCTGGACTCAGTCTATCCTCCTGCCTCAGCCTCTCAAATAGATGGAGCATACCACCATGCCTGCTAATTTTTTTATCTTTTGTAGAGACGGGGTCTTGCTGTGGCCCCAGGCTGGTGTCGAACTCCTGGGCTCCAGCAAACCTCCTGCCTCAGCCTCCCTAAGTGATGGGATGCCAGGTGTGAACGCCTGGATCCGATGACCTTTCATCGAAGCCACTCATTATACAGACAAGGAAACCAAGGCTCTGAGAGGGGAGGGGGCTGGTGAGGTTTCAGCACCAGGGCTAGGAGATCCAAAAGCAGTGCTCTTAGGCTGGGCACGGTGGCTCACGCCTATAATCCCAGCACTTTGGGAGGCTGATGCGGGTGGATCACCAAAAGTCAGGAGTTCGAGACCAGCCTGGCTAACATGGTGATACCCTGTCTCAACTAAAAATACAAAAATTAGCTGGTCATGGTGGCGCACACCTGTAATCCTAGGTATTCAGGAGGCTGAAGCAGGAGGATCGCTTGAATCCAGAAGGTGGAGGTTGCAGTGAGCCAAGATCACACCCTGCACTCCATCCTGGGCGACAAAGCGAGACTGTCTCAAGGAAAAAAAAAAAAAAAAGGCCGCGTGCAGTGGCTCACACCTTTAATCCCAGCACTTTGGGAGGCTGAGGTGGACGGATCACAAGGTCAAGAGATTGAGACCATCCTGGCCGGGAGCAGTGGCTCACACATGTAATCCCAACACTTTGGGAGGCCAAGGTGGGTAGATCATGAGGTAAAGAGATCAAGACCATCCTGACCAACATGGTGAAACCCTGTCTCTACTAAAAATACAAAAAATTAGCCAAGTGTGATGCCACGCGCCTGTAGTCCCAGCTACTTGGGAGGCTGAGGCAGGAGAATTGCCTGAGCCCAGGAGGTGCAGGTGGCAGTGAGTCGACATCGCGCCACTGCACTCCAGCCTCAGTAACAGAGCAAGACTCCGTCTCAAACAACAAAACAACAAAAAACAGCAGTGTTCTTCACCCTTCACTGTGGGGTCCCAGGCTCAGAGGCAGGCATACTCACCTGCACACTTGCTGGCTGTTGACACTACCAGCCACTGGGCAGTTGCCAGGACAGCTATGTCCCTTCCCAACCCTCCCCAGAATGCCACCTCCCAGGCAGCCCCTCACCTCCTCTTCGATGGCAGCTGCAGTCTCTGCATCCCCAAGCCGACTCCGACAAGGGAAGGCTCTGAGCACCGTCAGCACTGTGGGGAGGGGCAGCTGTGACCCCGTGACCCCGGTCCCCCAACGCCCCCTGCCCACCTGGCCCTGGATACCCACTCTGACTGTTGATGTCCCAGCGGCCCCCCAGGTAACCCACGACCTCACTCCGCGTCAGGTGGCTGTGGAAGTCCTGGGGAAGGGAGGGACAGCAGAAGGCTCAGGCTGTGGCCCTGCCCCAATGCTGGAGCCAGCCTGTGCCCTCATTCTCTTTTTTTGAGACTTGAGTTTTGCTCTGTCACCCAGGTTGGAGGGCAGTGGCATGATCTCAGCTCACCACAAACCACCTCCCCAGTTCAAGTGATTCTCCTGTCTCAGCCTCCCAGGTAGCTGGGATTACAGGCATGCACCACCACGCCCAGCCAAGTTTTGTATGTTTAGTAGAGATGGGGTTTCAGTGTTGCTCAGGCTGGTCTCGAACTCCTGAGTTCAGGTGACCGGCTGCCTCAGCTTCCCCGAGTGCTGGGATTATAGGTGTGAGCCACCGCGCCTGGCCATGCACCCTCCTTCATACATTTATTGAGCACCCACAGTGTACCAGTAGCAAACAAAGCAGGTAAGGTCCCAGCTCTCATGGAGCTGATACGCAGGGGAGCCCTACCCGCTGCCCACTGACTGGGCTCCCCAGGCCCCTGCCCAGGTCTGGGAACCCGTTGCCCCTGGACAAGGTGGGCCACACACCAGCAGGAACAGCACGTTGCTGGAAACAGCCACATTGAACGGCTGGAACTTGTTGATGGCTGCAAAGGATGTTACTTCCACCAGGGTATGGGGGTTCCTGTAGGGGCCAGGAGGGTCACAATAGTCTCAGGAACCCCCAGGCTCTTCCCTCGCCCCCACGCTGACTCCCCCCACCCCACAGCTCTGAGGATCTGAGGCTCTGTCCCACCCCCCATCCCTGCCCTTGCTACCCTCAGACCAGCAAGAGATCCAGGTGAGCTGGGGCACGGGCAGAGCTTGAGGTGAGTCTGACCTGGCCGAGTCGCGGCTGCCCAGCATGCAGTAGCGGACCGGGACCCGGATCTTGCTGTCCACCCGCTTCCCTGGGGTTGTGGCCTCTGGGAGGAGAAAAAGGCAGGGTCAGTCCCTCCCCAGCCCAAGTTGGAACAAACTAGGTGGCCACTGGGTGTGGTGGTGCATGCCTATAATCCCAGTGCTGAAGCAGGAGGATCGCTTGAGCATGGGAGGTTGAGGCTGCAGTGAGCTGTGATCACACCACCGCACTCCAGCCTGGGTTACAGAGTGAGACTCCTGTCTACAAAAAAGAAATTTTTTTTCACTTGAAAGCTGAGGTAGGAGGATTGCTCAAGTCCAGGAGTTCAAGACCAGCCTGGACAAGATGATGAGCTCTCTGAAAAAAAGAAAAATACAGGCTGGGCGTGGTGGCTCACGCCTGTAATCCCAGCACTTTAGGAGGCCGAGGAGGGCGGACCACGAGGTCAGGAGATGGAGACCATCTTGGCTAACATGAACTAGCCCGGCGTGGTGGCGGGCATCTGTAGTCCCAGCTACTCGGGAGGCTGAGGCAGGAGAATGGGGTGAACCCGGGAGGCTGAGCTTGCAGTGAGCCAAGATTGTGCCACTGCACTCCAGCCTGGGTGACAGAGTAAGACTCCATCTCAAAAAAAAAAAAAAAAATGGCCGGGCGCGGTGGCTCAAGCCTGTAATCCCGGCACTTTGGGAGGCCGAGACGGGCGGATCACGAGGTCAGGAGATCGAGACCATCCTGGCTAACACGGTGAAACCCC